TGTCTGGCTCGCTCGATGGATCCATCCGTTCACTTTGATATGACACTCCCATCACAGATGACCCAAAACCACTGTGTTTCAGCAATATTGCACCACCATGAAGGCGGCATGATTCTCACCGAACTGTACCCGCTAACAGCTTCAGTTCTCGGTTACCAAATTGCGTAATTCCAGGGTAAGGAGGACTGAAACGTTCAATCTAACCAATTAGTAGTTTGTGGTGCGATCGCCAGCAACCAGCTCATGACACGCGTGACATGATCGGATGAGCAAGAGAACTGCTAAAACCAAGAAATGGTTTGGGTGAGCATTCGTGAAACAACCTACCATGAGACATTGAATGTTAGCAAACCTGAATGCGAGATCATGCAACTCCGCCGGTACAGTTGGGACGGCCGGTGGCCGAGTGGTCTGCACGTTTGCTTTGCAACCATAAGGTCACCGGTTGGAATCCGCGTAGGGGTGGGCGTCCTCTCGGTATACTCAGCCCGCGCGCGACTGGTGGTGATCGCGCGGCAGCGAAGCGCCGTTACGGCGTACAACTGACACATTATTATTACTACTATTATTATTATTATTATTATTATTTACAGTTGGGACGAGCTAAGTGACGTGATGGCGTGGCAAGAAGCGCTCCGGTAGGCCCTTTGTGTTAGCCTAGAACGAATGGGATTGATGCATTATGGCGACCAGCATTCGTAATGGGTGAAGGCTGTCTGATTAGTTTCCATGTGCGTCAAGACGAACGGTGGGCTATGCGGATGTAATTTATAGGGGACGATAAGCATTAGAACCGAATAAATGACCGAATTAGTGCAGTGGGTAATGTGAGACCCTGGAACACTGTCATAACCCGGAGGAAAATAAATGGCAGTTGGGGAAACGTAAGGAGGTTCGCCAGCCATAGTCAGTGGGTGGTCACGACAGTTGCAGTAGCTTATCTGCCACATGATTGTTGATCAACCAGTTGAAGCGCGGAGGCGGTTTCAACACTTCGATTTGCACGCCGACTTTGACCAATAAATCATTGGATAGACTGAGTTGCTTGGTATCGTTTTGTGTCTGTTCCGGCAAGCTGCTCTAGAATGTGTTTTTCAAGCCATTTCATTTCGCACCGCGAGTACATACGAAACAGTTAGCTATACACTAGCAAGTTCGCCAGGGTTCAGTTTAGCTGCACTCAGGTTCCGGAGTGGAATGCGGCTTGGTTTTATATACTACTGCTTTTACTAATTGTAGAAAGTAGCTTGCACTTCGAAGAATACAGTCTTCGGGATCGCCGCTTGCGGTGCAGTTTCAGCGATTGATCCGCTAGTTGATATGGTGCCAGCTGAGCAGGCAAACTTGTACACGAAGATATCTACCTCAATCCATCCTAGACTGTGCCTATGGGAATCACTCCCTAACAAATTTATGGTGGAGCCCTAAGTTGCAGAAGTGGCGCCATTCTACAGTCCACATGTAGTGAACCCAATCGTAGAAATAGTGATAATCACAAACTGCTTCAGTGCCCATATAGATTGCAAGGTAGTCACTCGTCAGACAGCTTCAGCTGAGAGCAAATTCACGACAAATGCGTTGTTGCAGCGTGGCAGTTTCATTACCATCCATCCAGCACCCCACCGACCGATCAGGTGAGAGATTGCGCAGGGAAGATAATACATGCGAGGCGATGAAGTCTTATTCGTCTCTGTATGTGGGTAAGATGGATGGTGTGGTTGTGTTTAAATCACGGTGGGTTTGTCTGAGATAGAAGTTGTGCCATAAGGGGGCCCCGGAGTGTGTCTAATGGGTGCGGCGACAATTAAAATATCCAGCAAAATGCAAACTTTCAAGTTTGCATTCTGTACGCAGCATTCGATTAACCAAAGATACCCATGAAGTGACAGTAGAGTTGAATCGACCCGAAGCACGCTGGATGTGGACTAAAAGGGTCTCCTAAATTAATCTATCATAGTCTTTGGTTATGGTAGGAGGAATCCATCCCTGTGATATTCATATCATCAACATTGTAACCAAGACAATCCATACTTGGATTGGGCTGCCTCAAAACGATGCAAATTCAACATCGGAATTTGTTGAGATGTTGATGGCATATTGTTCTCAAGCGCGGATGATCCAAAGGTGATATATTCCAACTAAAATTTTCCGTGTTTACTCAAGCTGTTATCAGTAGGACCAAACCAGTGAAGTTAATCTGATAGACACAAAGCTTCGACACATTGATTCATAGCTTAATAACACTGTGCAACAAAAAATAGTTATTTTCTATAACAGAAATGTCAATGACCCTATTTTATACAATACACTCCACCGATCATAGAAATGTATTCTGATGTTACCTAGCAGGTCATTACATTGGTATAAGCTAATGATTATTTTCAGTAATGTCAAGACTACGTCGTACGAGTTATATGTAAATCGCAACAAATTCAGAACGCATTTATGTGGCAAATACGTTTAAAACATCACTATAACACTCACCACTAACGACTGGCTGCAGCTTGGCACTGGGAAATGATAACTTCGCCGAGATCGTCGTTTATATGATCCAGCGCCCCCACGCAGCGGAAACTAACAAAAGTCATCCATCATAGAAGGCGTATACTTGCCACTGCAGCACTGCTTCATGACCGAAATGTCTTAGTGAAATGGCCCACCGTGCTCATCGCTTACAGATCCCAAGTTCCCAGGGAAAAAGTCAAAGTGATTATGCAAAAAACGCATCTTGAGTGACATTCGAGTACCAACTACCCATAGTCCGCAGTGAGCTTTTTGCGATGTCATTGTAGTTCTCTGCCTGTTTTCTGTCCAAAAATCCTGTACACGCTGCCTTGAATTATCGCCACACTTCTAACTGCAGCAAACTCCGTCCTCACTGGCCCCTTTTTAGTTGTGTAGTACTGCTGTGTTGCTCTACTGTTCCAAAAGCACAAAAAACTAATATTTTGCGATGCATCCATGACCACCCATTAGGAATCGAATGACTTTGAAGTCAGCACAGATGCTCCAACCGTACTTATCGTAGTTCGGTGCAGCGAGTATCTATTGTGTACTTTCCTAAGTCTCCTTCATATTGGTGGCATGCAACAGACGCATTTCCATTGTGGAGCAGTATGGCCTTAAACCATTTATGTCGGAGGTTGGAAATCGTGAATTTTGGTATGGAATTCATATATGTTGATTATAATAATGTAAAAAGAAGAGAATTTGGAGAAGTATTTTTATTTAGTCCAGTTTCTGCGTTATGGGGCGTTCCAACAATGGATCACTAGGCAAAACAATTGTCTTTTTGTAACGTGGTACATGAAATGCTGCTTTTCATCTGAATATGCTTGTAACTACTACGGCGTGTGATATTCAATTGAACACTTCACATGTAAGGCAACATCACATCGAAACGTGGTGTTCTTATGACATTGACCGCAGCGTGTTTGCTTTGGTTGCTGGACAATAGCATTACAGGTAACCGTTGTTACGATAACGGAACACCAGGCGTAAATGGATTAAGACTACTCTTGGACGAGTCAATGAACAAACACTATTCATCACTAATATGCCTCACGCCAAGCTCCTTCATCAATCCTTCACGTCAAAACAGTGATAAAAGGTTCCTATCGTTTCATAGAGAGCGGACAAGTTAACATTTCGCTTTCTGGATACAGTAACCTTAATGTTTGCAGCAAGTAAGTGCCACTGCTACAGCCGAGATGCCAGCAAATTGGCCTTGTCTTTAGGCAAGCCCAGGTCACGTACCAAGTCAATGAGCTCTGATTGTTCAATAAAATGTGGGTTGACAACGCCAGCTTCAGTTTTCACAGATATCAGAAGCAGGGGAAGTTGACGATGCGGAATCATTACTTACCATCAGTAGTATGTTCACTGGAGGCATTAGAATGGGTAAGGTGCAGTCATGAGGAACAGGTCGAATAGCTGATGGAAGATCGGGGTAATGATTTTTGTCCTTGTTTCGATTGGAGATTCTAATGACGCAGGTTAGGCAGAAATAGCAGTCTGTGGTATTGTAGCGAGAACGACACGACAGGGGGGTAGACGTTTATTGCACACCGAAAATGGGCACACCCGGGTCTCACGCGCGCCATCGAATATCGACTAGATTTCCGTCCCACAACGCAACACAGGTACGGATGTTAGAGACGAGCCAGTCCTTTCGCCTCGGGAGCTCTGACTTGGAAAACCCGCTTCCTGTTTTCGCCTCGATCTCCACTTCTTTGTACCCGATTTGGATCGGCCAGCTCTCGACTTCCTTGTTCTGGGCTGTGTCAATCAGCTCGGCCTCGGTCCTGTGGGCTGCGCTAGCGGCGTATATGTCTGATTTATTGCGCTGTCCACATATTCCCGCTCCGTAGTTCCGGGCCCAGACTCGTCGCTAGCCGTCCTTCTCGATCCGCTCTCAGCTAGCTCCGAAGAGCTCCCCCGCGGCATTCTTGGGAGCGGCCCATCTACAGTATGATACTTCGGCTCCCTCCACACCATGGGGTATGCAAAAGGCATCTTGCCTTTGCCCTTGAGCCACTGAGTCAGATGAAGATTGTACGACACAAACACTATGCGGCGCCCACTTCTTATCCTGATCTCCCAGTTTCATCCCGAAATATACGTGGGGGGCAAACTTCAGTTGTGAAGCAATGGGTCTGCACTGTGATTTTGTAGTAAACTGTCCACAGACGTGACCAAGATATCAATTAAGGAAATACGGTCCTCAATCGATTTTCAGTATTAGGTGGATACCATGGCCAAGAGGACTTCTTTTCCACAATTACAGAGAGCAAATGGACTAATCGCAGGCGAGCATTCGATGCATGGAACGCACTGCTTTGTTGAAATAAAAAATTGAAATTAAAAGAAAACCTGACGTGATAGAAACATTTGGTTTGTATATTCGTATTCAGCTCACTTGGTACTACTAGAAACATCCTATCTCATTTCTATTATAAAAATGATGTTGCACAGTGTAATCATCTTTTCTTTGATCCCAGAACATCGCATTCAGACACCTGCTCCTTTCGCTGGCCTTTTTCAACGGTGTCCTAATAGAGCGGAAGAAATTCGGCCCACTTGGATTTAACATTCCGTACGAGTTCACCACCGGTGATTTGAGGATATGTATGGACCAACTGGTCATGTTCTTGACAGAGTACGCAGACATCCCGTACAAGGTAACTGTAACGGTATTTCACCCACTGTCACACCGACATCTGAGCTTTCGTTGAACATCAATATTTCTCTTCCTTTCAGGTACTACGCTACACCGCCGGACACATCAACTACGGCGGCCGAATCACGGATGATTGGGACAGACGATGCACAATGAGTATTCTCGGTGACTTCTACAACAGTCGTGTACTACGAGAGGACCACTCCTACTCTCCGTCTGGGATCTATCATCAGCTGCCCGATATGGCCGATCATGCTGTGAGTGGCTTGGTGTGCGCAGTGTTACCCTTCGAGCCAAATCGGCACCATCCTTTGTTAGTGGCATTGGATTAGATGCTTATGCGTAGCACAAGTAACGAACCGTGCCCAAAGACGAATACCGAGGTGGAAAGCATGCTAGATATGTGGGCGACATACTATGTCAACGCTAGAACGGATGAGGCTTATTTTCAACTGTTTGTTGAATGAAGCGAAATATCACGACTTTCATTGGAGTTGTCGAATGCAAACAGCCTGGATGCTGTGGCAGCGAGAAGAGATGGATATGTCTTCAAGTGAAATACTAACCACGAGAGCATCGTAAAAGCCCAGTAAATAACGTATTTTCGTTTGGAAAGTCGGGCTGCTAAGAGGTTAACAGATCGCTGGCACAAAAACTTTTCGGGTCCAGTGCGCTGAATATACAGCATACAGAACCGCATGACTTGAAATGACACCTTGATACGCCTCATTACATACAAATGAACAGTGGATGGGCATACAAATTAAAATGTCACCGGTTATCATTTCCACCCACACTCAGGTTGGTTTGGTAGCATAAACGCATCATTTTGAGTATAGCGGTTTCAGCCAGTAGGGGCAAACCATCCACTTATATTAGACATAAAGATAAACAAATCTACCAATCTATTGACCAGTAAGTAATGATCAAAGCTTTCATCTATTGCCTCATGAAGTTCAGATGAAACGAAAAGCCGATAACAAAAGTATCACAACCGCACATATCGTTTTGTTTAGACACACTTGGAGTACATTCGGTCGCTACCGATAAACGATCCACCGGAGATTTTTGGCCTCCACGACAATGCCAACATCACGTTCGCACAAAATGAGACATTCGCTCTGTTGAGCTGCCTTCTTCAACTGCAGCCGCGCTCAACTGCAGCTGCAGGACAGGGGCCACAGCGTGAAGACATCGTGGAACAGCTCGGTCGATTTTTGTTAATAAAGACACCGACGTTGTTCGATCTTCAGGCGGTGACCGAGAAGTATCCGGTCATGTACGAACAATCCATGAACACGGTGCTAACACAAGAAGTGGTACGGTAAGTTACACATATTGCAGTCGATGGGTTATGACCTTAAAGTTCCAATTGGCTGTGAATAACACAGCAAAAGCAATGGAGAAGTACCAGACTTAAAAAAACCCAAAAAACGTGGTCCACACTCGAAAGCTGAGATATTTTCGGTTTCACTGTCAGTTAAAACCGCAGGTGGTTTCGTCGTTGCTTAGGCTCCTGAGATGAAGATAGCCCGTGCAAGCTTCGGACAGGTGAACCCGACTTGGCAGGCCGCTTTGGACAATAGGTCATCCGGGCGTCAACTGACGAAAGCTTAGCCTAGGTTTGGATTACCCGCTGACTGTTACGATTAGGTTAGGCAACTTTCGCTGTGGCTGATGTACCTCAACGTAATTCACAATCCTAATTAGTAGGCATACCAAAGTGGCAAACAACGGGTGATACGTCCCAAAGCGCATACTCTTTGAACGTTTAGCCCTTGTTGGTCGGTGGTACAGCAACTTGAGATGCATTGAGATAATCCAGAGGGCTCGAAGAAACAGGCCGTATGTCTTTCGATAGCCCCTGCGTTCGACAAAGGTCCGAAAATTGTGGTTCAACCGATAACGCATTGCGTTGTATTGCGCAAATGTGGTAGGAGCATCGGACAGGAAGTATTGAACTCTGCCAGTTGGTGTTTAGCAAGCGACTCTAGAAGGCTTCCCTGGAATGCCTGTCAAATCTGTGCCCGCTGACCAGCATTCTCGATGTGCATCATACGTTATCGCTGCACCCATTTTGACATCTTGAGGTGGCCGGTAGATAAAGTGGCATAAAAGCATGGAGAAAATGACCGAGGAACCTGGGCAGGCTGAATCAGTCACTTGAGCTGCTAGAGATCTTATCGGACCTGATGCAATTGCAGGTTCAATGGTACACCTGCATTCGGTTCCCGGAATCTATCTCATAATACTCCATCCTGACTAATTTTACCAAGCTTTTTCCCAACCCTCCTTTCCTTGTATTCCACTTAAACTCCACCTCATTTTCATCTCCATTTTGAGTCATTGTCATCCTGGCTGCACGAAGCGCAGCAGCCAGATTAACCACGCTCTGGATGGTAGCTATTTAACTGCTTGTAATGACTTTAATTTGAATAAACAATTAATTAATCTGTATATTTCTCGACGGTGCGAGACACAGACCAGATGCGTTGTCTGATCGTTATGTACAACATATTCGGATGGAGGAGAAATTTTTTTGAATATCACAATGTAGGTCCCGCATAAGTTTTGCGGTGTTCGATTAGTTAAAAGTAATAAAAGTATTGAAAGTAGAACCTAAGAATAAATGTAGGCGTGACCCGCAGTTCAAGCAAAGTAATCAGACCATCCGGGGAAGCGTCTTTTGGGGACTTGATTCCATGCGGGGTACTCCTTCGAAAGATTTCACCCGTACTTCCACGCCTCATCTGGCCATGTGCTAATGTAGAATAAAAGCAAGTGAGCCATTATATTGACTGGGATTTTTTGGCCCTTGTCGTAAGCAATAGGCCACCATCATGAAGATTATTGTCCGGATTATGCGTCAAGTAACCTGGACTGCTAATACCAGTCGAAGATGTCTAAATACAATGAAGCTGGCCTGCCACAAAAATGACAGGCAGGGAAGCATTTTCCCCGGTGACCTAGAGGTGCGCGTGTCGCATCCTAACCCGTTCATATTTGGGCGGATTACGTTCAAGCACCGATGAGGGGTCTCATTGCGTAGCCCTTTAAGAATGAAGTGGTGGGGGAATTCAAAGGAGTCAAGGTGCATCTCAGCTAATGGCAGTCTGACAGTCACTAGATATCCGGAAAAGTGCAGAACGACCATATCGCCCTTTCGAAACGCGCCAAGAGAACAAGCCCATTCGAACGTGACTTGGGTTACTCCAGGCAATCCGAAAAGGCCTCGAAGACTGGAAACCAACATGTCGGGTTGTTGCGATGGGTGTATGGACAAATAAACAGCTCCATATTTCGACAAATGTTCAGTGCGTATGTTCGCCCCAATGTCGAATAGGCAGTCCAAGCCTGGCATCCATGGCTGAAACACGACCTTAATGCACTGGAGCAGCCATAACGTCGGGTATCTAAGGACGTAATCGGTATGCGCAATCGTTCATACGAGGAGAGGCTGCAACGACTGGAGGTATTCAGCGGAAGCTATAGCAGACTACGAGGCGACCTGATTATAGCATACTTGATTCTGAGAGACCCACGTCATGAATGCCGTCCTTTACTGCGGCTCAGCACCAATACAACCTGAAGGGCCACTCATTGAGACTCGCAGAACAGTATAGCCGTCTGGAGTGTCGCAGAAATTTCTGTTCCATTCGTATCTGTCACCTGTGGAATGCTCTCCCAGAGTCGGTCGTCTCTGCACCGACACTAACAGTATTTACAAGACGATTGGATGACACGGTCACCCACTTAAATTTTGTCACTTAGCGCTACGTCTCCATCCTACACCTGGAGTTTACCATGGATTTGTTTGTTGTTAACTGTGGGTGCTGTGAATCTAAGCGGTTTGCAGGATTACAGCGGAGCAAACGATAAGTCTTTATTTTCATATTTAAAGTGCTAACTGTTTTGCTCTTATTATTATTATTATTGTTGTTATTATTTCGATATCCTCACCAATTGTCCAAAGGGACTTGTAAAGTAACGCTTCTTAACCCGTATAAATTCATTGTTCATTGAACTCCTCGAGATTCGCAACCACCATACACGTCGCGAGGCAACAGCTCAAGTCACCATACTGTCGAAGTGGCTATCTGCAGTGTAGCAGTCAACCTACGGTCATTTTTATGCCAGCGCTAACAATCTAAAGGCACACAGGAACGAAGGACAGAAAGAGCATATAAAGAGGGAGGGACAGTAAAAATGATCACACTCCCCTTCGCGTGCACCTATACGCTGTGGCAAGAACACTCGATTGCGACAGGGTTGATGAAACCAGTGAGATGGCAAATCACCTGTCGCTACAATGCAGTGGTAGATGAGCCGCCTGGCCGGCAATTAACAGGTATTGCTAAGATGGACTGCGCGAGAATACAAAATCAAATAGCTACTGAAAATAAAGGCCCATATATATATATATATATATATATATATATATATATATATATAACACAATCTGTGGTACAGATATTGTGCCAGCGGAATCATGGCTGAATAGGAAAACAGTATGAATAAAAAGAAAATAACGACAACAAAAACAACAACAACAATAGCGTTTTTTGTCCAGTTTGTCACTCAGTGTTTGAATTTTTTTCAGTTTTTAGGGGGGGGGGAAGGAGTGACTCCGCAACATACCGATGCACACGTCCACCACTGACATCGATCTTGAGCCATGGCTTCTAAGGTCTTCAACCAGCAATTATCCGCATCTCTCGGACCTCAACCAGGTAGTCGACAACAAACGGCCGAGGCCAACTGTTTCGTCAGCTTTCCCATGCGGCTTCTCCAAGTTGCAGGCTGTCCACCAGACCGATTCTTCCAACCATGTCCAACAACCGCAAACAACGCACGACGCGGGCAACACTGAACAGGCATACGCAATACGTGTCTCAGCTACCGCAGTTGATGCAGTGAGACGACCACCTCGAGCGAGTGGCTTCCTCGTCCCAAGACACGTTCTCTAACTTCTACATTGCTTACGTGGTGCCGCCACCACACACAGACAATGGACCGCAGACAGCGGTGCTCAAAGACGAATAGCCTGCGCAAGCCATCTTTATGAATGGGCCAGGTCTCGCATCTGTACGACAGTACAACACGAACAGTTGCACAATAGACCCGCTCTTTGATGGAGAGACGAATGTCGTGGCGACCCCACAAATGCCTCAGCCTAGAAAAAGCGAGGCCTGCTCTCGAGATACGCACCGAAATCTCGTCTCCAACAACCCCGCCAGCAGTGATGCAACTTCCCAAGTAGACAGAGCTCTCCACAACCTCTAGTGTCTCACCACCAAGAGTGAGCGCAGGCAGAGTCACCTGCCAGTCTTGGAAGAGAGCCTTGCATTTAGATGGCGAAAAGTACATACCATACTTTGATGCTTCAATCGCCAAGCTGTCTAGTGCAAGTTGGACGACGTGTGGATCGTCACCCAGCAAGACGATATCATCAGCATAATCCAAATCATCAACTCGACTACCTGGGAGGAGCTCAACGCCAGCGTTCAACGAATCGCCCAGAGGCTTCTTTAGGTTATCCTCAATGGCAAAGTTGAATAGGAACGGAGAGATAGGACATCATTGTCGAACTCCACTGGAGACCACAAAAGTAGGCGAAAGCTTGCCATAGACCCTAACCCTGCCCGAAGTCAGACTATATAGAGCGCGCAGTATGGAGACGAACTTCTTGTGGACACCATTCCTCAGTAGGCAGTGCCACAGTACCGTCCGATCGACAGAATCGAAGGCTGCACGGATATCCAAGAACACAGCAATCGTTGGCCTCTAATACACATGGCGGAGTTCGAGGACCTGGCGGAGTGTAAAGATTTGATCGACGCAGCCGCGACCAGGGCGAAACCCACTTTGTTCTTCTCGCTGCAACGATTCGCACGTTGGGGATAGCCTACAAAGTATGATGGATACCAGCAGCTTGCAAACGACGGGGACTAAGCTTATGCCTCTGTAGTTGGAGCAGATTGTGCGCAGGCCCTTTTTGAAGATGGGGACGACTATCGATTTACCCCAAGATGATGGAACTTCCTCTTTTGACCAAGGTTTCGAGAACAAAACTTTGAGTTCTCGAATCAGGGAAGCGCCACCATCTTTGAATAGCGTTGGAGGAAGACCATCAGGACCGGGGCTTTATAACGCTTTATGTGCCGGAGCTCCTGCTCGATTTCCTGGTAAGATGGAGGATCTGTGGGGGTAGACCACTCGGCCCCAGCGCAAGCGCCAGAGGTAGCAGATGGACCTGGGGGCCAACAAAACTGCGAGCCAAAATGTTCGGCCCATCGCCCCAACCTTCGTTGATTGGTGATAAAG